ACAAACTTAAATTTATAAATTGAACATACGAAACAAGTGAACAAAGCATACAAATACAAAACAAATTCTTATATTATTTCAAAATGACGCAGTCTCAAGACACCTTCTAACGTTGTCTCGTTTAGTTCATAATCATATTATTAATTTCAGTAAAGGTATAACCTAAAGTAAATAAGTACAGGTACAAGAAATAAGATGCCTAAAAGCTTTCTCGATAGCTAAAATGCAAACTTTGTTATGGTACTTTGGAACTTGTAACCTTGTATTAATAAGTAACTTTACTCCTCGTAAACGTGTTTTGCGAAGTCTTGTTAGCAAGACATCGCGATCTATTAAATAAACTTTACATATTAATTTACAAAGAGGGTGACACTTTCTAAGTCACGGAATTATATTATAACTATTATTCATCAAACTAACTGTTGCCCGCGACTCCGTCCGCGCGAAATAAAAAAAAAGATAATAAGTATCCTATGAGTTTTCCAGACTATGTTCTACATCTGTGCCAAATTTCATCAAGATCCAAACATCCATCCATCGATCTGTCCATCCATCTAAACATTCACATTTATTCTATTAGTAATAGGTAAGATTATTCATGAAATAGAAGACATTTTGATTTAATGTGGAATACTTTTTTTGGGAATTAGACTTAGTACATGAATTAAATTCATAAATGATGTCCTTAAAACTCAGAACAAGATAGATAGTCTTCTTGTCTTCAAACCGAATTACAAGGTCGCGAATGTCTAATGGAATGTACAGTATGAAAACAATAAAAACCCATCGCGATCAAGACAAATTGATCTGTATATGGTCTCTAAATGACAGTACACTTAAAGCAATAAATAACCAATATCGAGGACAATAAACAATAAAATCGTGGATTCGAGAAATAGAAGCACTAAAAGAATAAGCGATGTTAAACATGAATACTGATTTGTTTTGTAGATCTCGAAAGAAAAGTATGTTTGCTACAGATGTAATTTTAGGTGGCAAGGATTGTTTCTATAATACTATAACATGAAATTCCAAGGAAGTTTATAAATCGAATGACAATTCTATATTCATTATCGGTTTAGTTGTTTGAAGGTCTCAACGAAAAGAACAAGCAATCATGCTGGCCGTCGATTGTTTGTCAAAAAAAAATACAACGTGACGTAGTGTACCCCTGTAAAAAATTTTGCCTTCAATTTGGATTCAAACCACAACATCGTTGAGATAAGTTGCTAATCCACATCTTCGCAACAGGGAACTATGTCATGCATATAAATGATACTATATCAAAAATATGTTACGAATCTTGTCGTAAATATGACATCTCAGATTCCACTTCATATAACAATTGACTGTATTTGCATTTATTTGTGTTTTCTAGAGCGGAATGAACTGTGTTGAGAAATAAATTCACGAGCTGCCAAAAAACATATCGAAGATTTATACGATATAGGTCAAAGAAATATTAAATTCTTTAACCCCCGTTGACCCTTGTATCACTCTTTCGGTCTCTTGTCTTAATCCAAACTTAGAAAAAGTAAAGAGCGAATCTAAATCGTGCACTATTTGTAATTATTAAAACTTGCACTCTCAGAAACTTTTCACTAACACAAAACATTAAGAATGTTAAGCTGGAAACACTTTCTTTTATATCAAAAAGAAATAAGCGAGCACAAGGAACGGCTTATGTTAAGTGACCACATCTAACTGTAAAAAAATTTGTAAAGGAAAAAAGTAGACACTTTTAGAACCATTATAGGTTATATGAATATAATATTTGAACCCATTTTTTAAGCAAAGAATAGCAGTAGATCATAAAACAGAGGGTCATCATCTTATTGATATTATAAATGCGAATGTTTGGATGGATGGATAAATGTTTGTTTGAAGGTATCTCCAGAACGGCTGCAAGGATCTCACTGAAACTCGGCATAGACTACGTCTATATATAGTCTGGAAGAACGTAGGCTACTAATTAAGCTTTTTCTAATATTCCGCGGGTTGCAGGCAACAGCTGGTAAAGAATAAACACTCAGAGAGAACAACGTATAAACAGATAAAAAAGTTGTTGTATTGACACTGGTATAAACAAGAGACATATTTCTTCAGGCTCTGACTGCGTTATCCATGCGTCGGATGTAAGAGTTGTAAATTAACTGGAACAAACAGCTAGAGCTTTGAGGTGTTTTATGAGGTGTTGCGTCCCACTTTCGCTACGTTGTCAGTGGAGGATTTACGGTGTGAATAGATCCACAGCGGAGAGCTATTTACGTCTGATGATACGCACATGTATTCAACAAGTAACAATCAATGTCAGTATCAAAGCGAAATATTGAGCTCGCTAACATGTGCCTTAAATATTTGAAGTATGTTAATCTACTCTTTTAGTTTAAAAAAAGCATTCAAGACTTTTTTTGTTAACATTTTCTGGTAATTCAATGTTAAACAAAAAAAAACTCGATGTTAATTTGCTAAAAGGGCGAGTTGTTTTGACCTCGTTGAAGAAAATACATGACAAGGTAAGATCGATACATGTTATACAAACAAACACTCCTCTTGTTGATTCACAATATGATCGTTATTGATTGAACGTCAATTCGTATAATGTAGTGGCGTTGAAAATATACAGATAGCTATTGTGTATATCAATTGTATAAAAATATAGACAAAAGAAAATGTTTTTCACTCAGTTTTCATAAATTTATGTTCCATTTATTCCTCTTTTATATTTTACACATTTATACTCTACACGCGTTTAAAGAAATATCTCTTCTCGATGTCACACTTAGGGATTCTTCAAGTTTTTGACAAGAACTAAATTGTCATACAATCCCTGCTTTCTCTACATTAAATGAAATATTCTGGAACTAATATAAAAGATGTTTATTTAAGAAACCGTAGAAGTATTTGAGCTGAAAACAGCAATATTCTTTTATATCCGATAGTTGACATTCGAAGCAACTTCGAATTCGGAAAACCGCATTGATATTCGATCAAAAGAAATAGAACGAAACCGATCAACACTATTGAATTTCGAAATATTTTATGTTTGAAACAAATTTTTTAATGGAAATCAAAATATATAAGAATATCATGTCTCATTTCTATCACAGAGTTTAAAGTTGCGAAGAAGTAGAAAGAAAACATTATTACATATTCATGTATGTTTTAATAACATTTTTCATGTAAACACAAAAAAATGTAGAGTATAAAAATATCCAAACAAACAGTTGACAAAATCTGTGACAATTTTAAAACCTATATAAGTTTTAGTCCTAACTTTAATTTAAACTAAATTAGCTCTTAAAACTAAAACCAAATATTATCATAATTGCAATTTTTAAAATGCAATTTATAGGTTGATGTTCATCATCATCATCATCAGCTCACTATACGTCCCCACCGAGGGGCTCGGAGCCTACCCTAAGCTAACCAAAAATTTTTTGACAAATGTATTGTTCGTTAGATGAGAATTCTGTGCAAGTAAGCTCGCTTTTTAGCCACCTGCACCTTTTAGAAATAATTATTTACCTTCCCTTGTAAATATAAAAAATAAACGAATAAGACCGAAAAAATGTTCACTCAAAATAAAATACAAAACGTTCATTACTTTTAGGTATTCTTATTAATTTTCTAATTTAGATTTCAATTTGCTGGATTTAATTAAAGTTATTTTTATTAAATGTAATAAAACATTCAAATTCATTTTACCCGTTAACGACAGAATTGTTATAAGTGCCAAGCGTGAAACTGTCATAATACGTCTAACTTAAATACTTTTGTATCTGTAAATTTTGTCCAATAAAATAAAATTGAAAGTATTATTTTCATCAATATACTTTTGGGTTCCTGTTATAATTATCAATCGAATCTTATTCGTGTTTGATAATATTTATCTACATTCATCTGTAAACATACAATACGTATAAATGACCTTATGAAGTAACGATGTAATGATAATTCAAATTTGCCGGTCAACTAATCAAAGAGGAATTCACCCTAACAGCGAGGGAATGTTAATCAGTGAGGTTTGAATTTTTGTTTGGATAATTTCATGTAAAAGTTTATTAACTATGGAAGTAGTTATTGTCACTTTAAAGTTGAAGACTGATAAGCCGTATGAAGTCGCCTACTATATAAAAATTTTGAAAAGAAAAAAGAAATCCTTAGGGACCTTTAAAAAAGGGAGCGTACCATTTCCTTAAAGGCCGGCAACGCATCTGTAGTTCCTCTGGTGTTGTAGATGTCAATGGGTGTCGTTGATCACCTCGGTGTTCCCGCCGCTCGTTTGGCCGATTCTCTCGTAAAAAAAACAGCGTCAACAAACCTTTTTCGCGTCAACATGTTCATTGTTTTAATTTTTTTTAAGAATAAATATTAATATTAATAATAATATTTTCTGTTTTAACTAAAATTACCGATTAACTTTCTTGCGAGCTTTCTAACGTGGTGTTTTTTTAATATTTTTGTATTAAAAAGTTAATTTTAAAACAAATGAACTAAAAATAATATTAAACTATAACATTAAACAAGTAACATTTATTAAATTTGTTTATGTGTTGATATTCTTAACTTACAACGAAATCAGCATTAGCAATTTAACAAGAACGATCTCCACAAAGCGGTTAGCATTAAATGAAATGTGCAGAGCTTAGAAGCGTACCTTGGGAGACATCGTGTCTTATACCTACCAACCTTGTATCGCGTCATGATGGAATGTTATTTGATTTTGGCGAAAAATAACTTATATACTTAAAGATCCTAATCAATTCTGTATATTATATGTGTAATTTCACATATCTTTTAGATCTTAGAACTCTAGAATCCTGAGGTGTATTCAACATATACCACTTTAATATCCAATGATTTTAAAAAATACTCCACTATAAATATTGTATTTGTGTGGTAACGACCGTTGTTTTAGATATAGAGTGTGATCATTGGTAATGTGTATTGTGACATCACAATGATAATGATTAAGCTTGTGTATATCTTGTTCGCAGTTCGGCAGGAGAACGAGCGCATGATGCACGACGCGCTCCAAGTGGGAATCGTAAATCGCACCCAGTCGTCGGAGGCATTTCGCTGACGCCGCGCTATTCCCCGCGCCCACGGCTCGATAACATCCGACCGGCCGCCGCCCCGCCCGAGGAGCCGCCAGACTTGGGGCCACACGACTTGGGGACACATGACTTGGCCCCAACAGCACCAAATCCCGAGGCGAATAACACCGAAATTACCAACGGTCATGGTATCTTCGGCCTCCAGGCGTCGGTGAGCCAAACCCCAGCAGGCCCTGCGTGAATTCTGCGCTAACATTCATATAAATCGGGCCTGCTTCATCCATTTCCAATAGTTGTGGTGTTGAACGCACAAACTGCCAGTGAAAATGTTCATTTGTCGACAAGCGAGCGAGTCGTTGCATTTCCGTGTCGAGTTAGAAAGTGGTATCATAGTTTAACATATGTTAAAGAACTAAATGTTATTTGTTGGAATATGTATGTATAGATGTAATAAAAGACAGTTTCTTATCCCGTGATAGAGTAGTAGCTAGTTTGTATGTGTATTTACATGTCAGTGGTAAGATTTTAATATGTGTCCTTATAATATTGAATGACGTCACCCCTTACAGCTTGATTAAGATTTGGTGAGATTAGTACTGAATAAAGCATTATAAAGCTAAAGAGAATTACAATTAAAAATAATCTGTCCCGGTGTCCAGGTCTTTTAAATGTTTTATGAAGATATGAAATCTAAAATATATGTATACGTTTTACAGTAATTAAACAACATTTTTACCTTTCATCGTTGTACAATATGTATATAAGTTTTTGACATAATCATATCTTTACTTAAGTCAGCAGCACAAACATGTTTAATAACGTCAATGTAATTCACATATTTATAATTATAACCTACAAACATTATGTACTATACAAAAATCATTACTTCTGATGGGAATAAAAAGTTACACTATCACTTATATTAAAGCCTATAAATGTTGTTAACTAGAGTTATATAATATTACTGAAAGCTTAAAATAAATTTGTGTTAGGCAAATAAAATAATGTAAAAGTATGCTGGTTTCTAAAGTTATGTTGCCTTTTGTTACAGCGTTGAATATTCTTTGTTGTTTCAACATTTAAATCAGTATTTTTATTAATTCCTTCTATTCCTTTTTTATATCTTGTTACTGAAGAGATAGAGTATCAAAGGAAACGTGAATCACTTTTTATGTTCTAAATACAGTCCAAAGAGCTTTCAACCCAATTATATATTGAATTATAAAATAAGAGCTTCTTGTAAGTTAGTTGTAAACGATGTTGTGCAGATTGCAATCAAAAGCTTTTAGATTGAAAAGCTTAAGACGACCTGTAAGCGTAATCCTTAGATTTTATGCATTCCTCAAATTGGTGTTTACCTTTCCGTTGATAATCTGTGTTAGCCGCAAAGTAGAATAATTATAAAATTATTAGATGTGTGTCGCTTTATGTGTACGAAACAGGGATAGGAATATTTCAATTTGAATTTAACAAAGAAATCATTGAACAGATATAATATACAACACTTCAATTATTCCATTTCAATTTAAAAGCTCTAACTGAAATATTTCCTCACTTGTACTAAACTCTTTATCAATAAAGACTTTTACCAAACTTAAGAAACGTAACATTTACTATACTGTCCTTTACTTACTAAAACCTCATTATAAACAGATTAATATTCAAATACACAAACAGGACATTAGTTAAATTCAAAATGTATGAATAATCTTTTTAAAACAAAAAAAAATGGCACTTTATTATTTCAAATAATCCATTTTACAGATTCTTTGTCGTTAAAAGATAATCATTTTTTTTTATTTATTTATAAAATTCTATGACATTATTTAAACCAGTATTAGTTAACCAGTATAAGTTATTATTATACAGATGTCCAAATTAATGATAACATAATAAAACTTTGCAACGATATTATGAACATGTTTAAATGTGGTGCGAATTCTTTGGACACATCTAAAGAGATTTTCGAGAAAAACCAATATAACGTTATTGTTCTTATGTATTACGAGAATTGAAATTCTCGATAACGATATCGATTATTTCATAATTAAAACATGTTTATAAGAGTTCTATATTACCCAAACAAATGAGATACGCAACTCATCCCATCCACAAGTGATACGGTTTATGGACGTCTTTAAAAATGTATTACAATCAGGAAATTGACACGCCGGAACCAAGTCATTATGTCAGATGCTATGAAGATCTCCAAGTAATCAACAGGACCTATTAACATGTATAACATTAACTCGAAGATATAATGAATTTTATAGTTGTTTGTTGTAAATGTCGGTTTTAATTATTCTATTTTACAAAAATAAAAGTGTTTAATAAAATGTCTTTGTAAAATATTTTGCTTTTTAATTCTTCTTTACGTTTAGTTACCCAAATGCGTATTTCTAAAATAAGGCCATAAATACAATACAATAAAACAAGATGATTTAGTCAATTATAGTAAAGATCTAGCAAAAGTATCGGGGGTTATAAAAAGATAAAGGAAGACATTTGACTGACCATACTTTCCATATAATATGCATGGCTTTAGTCACTACAAAGGATAATTTTTATCAAGTGAGAAGTCAAAGCAATATGAATAGTCCATTGCATTCCGACAGATGGGAGTCGAGGAGAAAACTGTTTACGACATATTTCATAGTGGTAATATTTTATCATAAAAGAATACCAGAAAGTTATGAAAATTAAATAGTAAAATAAATTAAAATGGAACTCGTTAAATTAATTTTATAATATTAACCACCGAGAGCGTCGGTGGCTCAGGGGTCAAGCACTTGACTTGCAATCTGCAGTCCCCATGTCCCCAGAATCCCGCCATGTACCTTTATCCGACGTTCTTACCGTGAAGGAAAACATCGTGATGCAACCTGCACATATCTGAGAAGAAATTCAAAGATATGTGTAAAGTCAACCAACCCGCACTTGGCCAGCGTGTCTGACAATGGCCTAGTCACCCCAATTAATAAATAATTTAGGGTAGGCTCCAAGCCCTTTGGTGGGGACGTATAGTAAGCTGATGATGAACAACCGAGATTATTCTCCGTGAATATACAGTTTCAATGTTTGTGTCTGCAAAATACGAAAAATATAGTCAATGAATAGACCGGATTTTTACACAACGTTGCATTTTAATAAAAGCATATTTCTATAAAGTTTTCTCTTTATTTCAAGTTCTACGTTGAAATGGGAAATTCTAAGCTTTGCCATTGCATTTTCATTGCATTGCCAGATGCAATGATGTATTTTTACAGTGAATCGATGTTTTCTAACAGTAGTCCAGTTTCAGAATGATTAGCGACGGAACATAAACGTCGACGTTTTAGTAAGGCTAGTGCTATGCCAGTACACCGGCACAGTGTCGGATTTTCTTCCTAATACAACATAGTACGAAAGATATGTTTAAATTGATAAAAAATTAAGGTATGCAAAAATGGGGACGTATTAAGTCGGGGCAGGGACAGTTCGGGCACTCGAGCGGGGTCAATAGGACGCACTTCTTACGTCATGCTCTAAGCGAGCTCAAGTTATCTCTCAAGACAAGAGTGTAGTAATCGCTGAGAAAATAACGCTCCGGACCAAATATTTGCTGTATTCTTCCTTTCTTTTCGTACGGTCCAGAAAGTCTAAGGCTCGGGGCAAATTTTCATTACATTTCGGTCTGTTAGAAACCGATAATGGGTACGAGTATTTGTACATCACTGATCTTCACAACTCTCGAGATAGATGCTGTTAGTAATGATTAGGCACTTATATTAAGATTTTATTTCTAATTTTACAAAATTTAAATTGAATGATACCAAAAGCCTGTAATCTATTTAATAGGTAAAACTACAATCGATCTGAAACCCTTCCGTCTGTATGCAACATGTCCTGCCCACCGTTACAAGTAATGTATGCAATGTATGTTGATGCATTAAATTAAAATCTTATCTAATCCATCAGATAAAGATGTCGCCAGAATATTATAATATATATGCATAAAAATAACACGAGCGTACGTAATTACTGTTTATAATGTACACTGTGTTGTGCATTGGCCGTGAAGTCGCTACATCGGAGACGGGGAATTTCTTTCGAACTTCGTATATCATCAAAGTTTATAACTTTGCGGATCTAGAAAGTGGAGAATTTGAGCTGATTTTGTAGCGGGCTTGATGCTTCTGAGAATGGTTTATACAAATTAAACAAATAAATATAATACCACATGTGATATTGTTTGAATTAGACCATACCGTAACATAATGTTATTCTGATTAAACACTATAACACTAGTAAATGTAACTTTCAAATTTTTTATTTTTTTGGGGGAGGGGTCTTAAGAGTTGAGTTCTTAATACTAAAAACCTGAACTCTAAAAGTGTGAGTATGAGTATATTATAATCGTTTATTACGCTTTATTTAAAATATAGTTCAGTAAGTAAGTTTTAAACAAGCGCTTTGCTGAAATAACTAAAAGAGTTTTTAAATAGAGTTTTCCGTGTCACTAAAGTTTCTCCGACGCGCTTATATTATTACTGTCCTTTGAACTACATATCGGATATTTAACTTTTAATGTATGAATTTTATAAATTCCATACTTCAGCGGTAAGTTTTTTTTTAATATTTTATTATATATAAAAGAAGAAGAAGAGGGGCGGGAACGCCGAGGTGATCATCGACGCCTATGGACATCCGCAACACCAGAGGAACTGAACTGAAGCTTAGTATTAGCGGGAGCTGAAAAGATTATCTTTCTAAATATTGGACAAATAATTAAAACATATTTTCTTTTAAAACCAACGAAAAATTTCATGTTAAAACTAGGCACTTGTCGTGAAGATTGCGGTCTCCTTTGACTCTAGTAAAATACATGAAGACGATTAAACCTTTTGAGAGAAGTAGGTCTGACCTAGTGACGACGTGGAGCTTCCTGCAAACGAAACCGACCAAAGAAATTACATAATTAATGTACCTTAATGACGTTATATATTTTAAAAATATTATTCCATTTAGAATATTAAAAGGTAGTTAATAATATAAAAATAAACATTCCCACATAGTTTTAAAATACAAATTTTATACTATGTTCAATTATTACCTTACAACGTCTAAAACTTTCAAGGGCTACACAGTCTAGATGGGCTTGTTATGTTTGAGATGTTAATTAATAAAGTAACGAATTACTCAATTATTAAGTTTAATTATATGAGTAATAATAAACAGCAACAACATAACTCATGCCTGTAAACGAGAGGGTAGGCAGAAACCACAATAGAGTAACAAATTATTTTTTCTGTAATTTTCAGATATTTTATTATGGAAAAAATTGGATCAAGTAAAATTTAGTCGTTAAGCTTGTCGTCAATATGAAAAGATAGAAAGTTATAATACAACCGTACTTATGGAACTGAATCAAGTATCAGTACAATGGAAATCTTTAACAAAAGCCCTCAACCCAACCGAACCTACCAAAAGGTACCGAATTCGACAAGCCAAGGAAAAATAAAATCAAAGCTATTATTTCGAACTTGAATAAAATCTGATTTCTTATCTGATTTTTTTTAATTCATTTTAGCTTTTCGTACATTTTAATGTTTCTTTTTTATTTAATGCTTTTAACTAACGGTATATTTCAGTTTATATTTTTTACACCATTGATTTGTTTTGC